TGGAAAACTAGAGGAACAAGAATAATGAAGGGATGTTTTCTCTGTAGCACAGTTCATCCCTTCCCTCTGGTCTCTTCCTTCACTCCCATCAGGCATAGACACCCAAGACATTGCATAGGAAGCTCCCTCTGTAAACTTTTAGACTCTCCAAGGAACCAACTTGATATGCTGGGTCTCCGAGAAACCAACTTGATCAGATGATTATTTCTGGTGTGGCTTCTCAAGGTCAGTTTCCAATGGAGTTCCTTCGTTCCTTTGACCTTTACTTCTGGCTCCATTGACTGGGTCTAGCAAAGAGCCTTTCCCCCTTCCAGCCATTGGAACCACAGTCTCTGAATGGCACCTCCTTGGCCCTGATTGGCTGGACATAGGTCCATCAACTGGAGAGTCTGACAAGGACCTCAGAAGTCAGCTGCCCAAATCCTCTTGAGACTTCTCTATTAGTCCCATTGCTAAGAAGGGGTCCTGGAAGTGGAGAAGCTGATATTTGCCCACCACTTGTTTCTGCTCATTCTTTCACACCCTTGATATTCCTGAGCTCGTAAGACAGCCACTAGTCACTTTCCTCCATCTCCTCTTTTTTTTCCAGTGTAGAAAAAGGAACATTTAAAGCACAAGGAGATATTTCAAGCACAGGCAGAACTTCTCCCCCAATATGTTGCAGAAACATCACTGAGCAAACAAACTACTGGGAAGTGAGGCTTGGAAACAAACAGCAGCTGCCACCATTGATGAGCTGCTTTTGCTTCCCTTAGGTTCTTTCTCATGCCATTTGTAGCAAAACTGGCTGCTCAAGTGGCCTAGTGGTTTAACAAAGAACATCCTGAGGACTCTCCAGGTGGTCTTGACTGGGTCCTTTACCTGTGGGGTGGTGGTGCAGGACGCGCTCCTTTCCCTTATAGTGTGGTCCTCACCTGTCTGGACCAGGTGGACATAACTAGAACTTCTGGCATCTGGGGTTTTCTGAAGTGTGGTTTCTTGCCCTCCTGGCTCGTAAGAGTAATTCTAATTCCAGTGTTTCCTAGTGACTAAATGCTGGCATGCTCTCTCTCTCTCTCTCTCTCTCTCTCTCTCTCTCTCTCTCTTTCATCTGTCTGTTTGTCCTTCTCTTCTCCCCTCTCCTCCCCTGACCCTGACCCTGACCCTTCTCCTTTGCTGGTACAGAAATTTGAACTTAGGGACTTGTACTTACTAGGCTGGTACACTACTATTTTTTTTTTTTTTTGGTACACTACTATTGAGCCATGCCTTCAGCCCAGTTTTTCACCTTCTATTTGTAGGATAGAGTCTAAGTTCTTTCCTGGGCAAAAGCACAAGCTTCAGTTTGTCTGTGTTAACTTCCCTGTAGTTACTAGGATCACAGGTGTGCAACACAGCCTCCATCTTCCCTTTATAGAGACAGAATCACTTGGAATTTTCTGCCTGGGCCAATCTGAAACTGTGATCTTCCCAATCCCAGCTTCCTTGGGATGACAGGTGTGCACACAGGTGTGGTTTAGAAGGGGTCTTGAGTTCTCTGCCTGGGCTGGCGTTGGATCTCCTGTTTTTAGCCTCCCATGTAGCTAAGATTACAGATATGAGCCACTGACACCTGGCTTTATTGTTTTTATCCTTTTATTTTTTGGCATTCATTAGGCTTGAACTCAGGGTCTGGGTGTTGTCCCTGTGCTGTTTTTTGCACAAGGCCAATACTCTACCACATTGAGCCGCAGTGCCACTTCTGGTTTTTCTGGTGGTTATTTGGAGATAAGAGTCTCAGATTTTCCTGCTCAGGCTGGCTTTGAACTGTGATTCTCAGATCTCAACCTCTGGAATAGCTAGGATTATAGGTGTTAGCCACTAGCACCCAGCTGGCTTTATTCTTTTAATTAATTTTTTCCCCTAGCACTAGTGTTTTTTGGAGTTTACAGCTCTCTTAAATTGTTACATTAAAATCTTTTGCTTTTTTTCTCATAGAGTGACTACTTTCCCTCTAAAAGCATTTTGTGTTGGTGGGAGTGTAAACTTGTCCAATCACTTTGGAAAGCAGTATGGAGGTTCCTCAAAAGACTCCACATAGAGTTCCCCTATGACCCAGCAATCCCGCTTTTGGGCATTTACCCAAATGATCACAAACAAGACCACACTAAAGCTACCAGCACAACTATGTTTATCGCAGCATTTTTTTTTTTTTTTACCATAGCTAAGATATGCCCCCTCAGTAGATGAATGGATCAAGGAAATGTGGTGTGTGTGTGTGTGTGTGTGTGTGTGTATGTGTGTGTTTACATCTCTATCTATCTATCTATCTATCTATCTATCTATCTATCTATCTATCTATCTAATGGAATTCTATTCTTCCATCAGAAAGATTGACAAAAAATTATATTAAGTGAAGTAAGCTAGACCCAAAGAAACATAGGTCCCATGGTTTCCCTTATTTGCAATAATTAGTATACATCTAGGATAATCTTACCAGACAAGCAGAAAAAGCCAAAAGCTATATACACATGACCATATTAGATAATACTAAGTGAAATGAACCCAAGATAGGGACACAAGAGACTTTATCTTAGTCTCTGTTGTGATTTTTTTATTTCTTTTGTATGTTCTTCCCCCTGTGGTATAACTCCTATTGTCACTGTATTTTATTCTGGTGCCCTGCATCTTGTATATACATTTTTCTAATTTGGAGAGGGGAAGGGAAGTAACAAAATGCTGAAACAAGGATACAGGTTGACATATTACAGCAATGAGATGTACAATATACTATGTTGAAAACAAACTTTACAACTTGGTGGGGGGGAGTTGGGGAGGTGGGGAGCAAAGGGATGGATAGTAGGAGAAAAAGGAGGGGGTAGCAATGCTTGATAGGAAATTTACTCATTACCTTACTCATGCTGTACAGTATCTTTATATATATATAAAATAAAAGCAGCCAGCCTGTAATCCTATCTACTCAGGAATCTGAGATCTGAGGATTGTGGTTCAAAGCCAGCCCAGGCAGGAAAGTTCATGAAACTCTTATCTCCAATAAACCACCAGAAAACCAGAAGTGGCACTGTAGCTCAAGTGATAGAGCACTTGCCTTGAGCTGAAGAGCTGAGGAACAGCGCTCAGGCCCAAAGTTCAAGCCCTATGACCGACCAAAACATAAATAAAAGCATTTTGTGAATTTCAGTGCTACTAGCATAAAACCCTCACATTAAAAGTGAATATTATAGGGTTGTGTGTGTGTGTGTGTGTGTGTGTTTGATAGTACTAGGATTTGAGCTCAGAGATTTCTAATTACCAAGCATGTGTTCTGTGACTTGAACCAAAGCCTTTTTTGCTTTATTTTATTTTTTCATAGTCTTGCTTTTGACGGGGATCAAGCTACCAAGGTTGTCCTACCTCCACAGGAATTACAGGCATGCGCCACCTTGCCTGGCCCCTATCAAGTATCACTAGATTGCTGACTGTGTGCAAGGCATTGTGTTAGGTCCTCACTCTTCACAAAAGCTGGGTGATATAGACATCATCCCTGTTGACAGGGATGTTGGCAGAGGGGAGTCACCATGTTGATTGTCCGGCGTTCCTACAATCGCCATGACAGTCATGACCCAGCTAGTCTTCTATCTAAGTCTGTCTGAATCTCCTCAACTCAGGATGTCCCCCTCTGGCTGCCCCTCAGCCACCCACCAAAATAACATGTGACAGTGGTCTCCTAGGTGTCAGGTAGGAGGACATGCAAGTTTATGGCCTTTCTTTTAATCTCTCAGAGAATTTGTGAACTCACTTAATAAATTCAGATCTCATGTGAAAGGAAACGTTTGTTTTTTATTGAAAAATCTTTAGGCCTGGGAATCTTTGGCTCCTATTGACAGGATAATAATTAGCTCTGGCAAAGTCAAGTACTGCCTCCTGGTCCTCCGCTTCTCACCTAAAGAAAGGACGCCCGGCCTCTCCAGTGGCCCAGGCCACACTTCACTTGCTTGCCCAGCTTCTACAGGCATTTAGCTTACTGCATCTTGATTTATGCCTTTAAAGATGTGATTTCGTTCCAGGTGGGAATTACTAAGAGTAAAAGCCAATTTCTGCCTCTGCGTTAAATTTTATAGGCTTTGCTTTCTTTTGCTTTTCATGGGGTTGAGATTGTAATTCAGTAACAATAGTGGTAATTATAGGACATTTAATGAACACTGTAACATCCAGCTGACTCCCAAGGGTTAGGATGCACTTGTGTGACAGCAAGAACTCGCAGGGTTCTTGAGTTTGGTTGGAATTCTCAATCCTGTAGCTACCTTCAAAAGCATAATTTTCAGGGCAGCATTACAGACAGGAGAAATGAGCCCAAGGAGAAGCATTCTGAGAGGTGCATGTGGATCCCATAGCCTCATGGAGATGTGATTTCCATTGGGCAGATGCTCTATGATGTAGGAGTACCTTTCTCCCTGAGAGCCCACCTCAGTGAGAAATTGTGCGTGTGTGTGTGTGTGTGTGTGAGAGAGAGAGAGAGAGAGAGAGAGCATGCGTGTGTGCGTGTGTACGCATGAGAACACGTGTATGCAAGTACTTGGGCTTGAACTCAGGGCCATGGAGCTCTCCCTTAGCTTTTTCACTCAAGGCTGGTGCTGTATCACTTGAACCACATCTCCGCTTCTGGAATTTTTTGCTGGTCAATTGGAGATTAAAAAGCTCAGAGACTTTTCTATCTGGGCTGGCTTTGAACCTTTGTCCTCAGATCTCAGCTTCCTGAGTAAATTGGATTCCAATGCATGAACCTCTGGTACCTAGCTTTTTGTCTGGTGCACACATATTTCATGAAAGTATAGCATGAAGATAAGATGAATGGAGCTAATGAATGAATGGAACTTCAGGCGAATTTGACTGTTTTTTTAAATTGATAATATTCAATTTTAATACCCTACAATCCACGCAAATAAAATTATCTCTTTGCTCCTTTCAAAATACTTGCTTTTGATTGAGATAGTGCCTGGAATATTGTTTTGATTTTTGTGTCCTGTTTATTTGTCTTTCAGGACCCTGCAGGGATCTTTGAATTGGTGGAACTTGTTGGAAATGGAACGTACGGGCAAGTGTACAAGGTAAGTCATGGTGTTTGTGTGAGGCATGTGTGGGCCACGTGGGCCACAGTGCTATTGTACATACTTGCTCATAAATGCCTAGCAAGATGCAAAATGAGATATTGTATTTGGCCATTGACTCTCCACCTTCTGGAATAGATCTGTAGATAGAGTGCCCAGACTAGATTCTGTAAGTCAGGCCTTTCCTCTCAGTATGCATTACATTGTTTGTATGTGATCATAAATTCTGGTGCTGTGGGTTTGAAGCTTGTTTAGGGGATAATTTCCTTTCCTTTAAGCACTACCAGAATTTATGTTCTAGTTCTTTTTTTTTTTTGTAGCAGTCCTGGGGATTAAACTCGGAGCCTTGCACTCACAAGGCAGGCACTCTACCACATGAGCCACGCTTCCAGCCTCTCTCTGCCGTAGTTACTATTGGTTCTGCTGGTTTATAATAGTTAAGCAGAGGGAGATTTTATTGGTACATCTCTGTATAGGTGTATACTATATTCCAGTCAGTCTCCCCACCACCCCATCCTACATCTCTTGCCTTAGGCCTCACTCTATACCCAGGTGCTCTTGGGGTGGGATCCTCATGTTGATGTTGATGATGCAAGTCTGGAGACACTGGCCAGCTATTGTGCTTCTCTAGTAGCTGGGATTAAAGGCCCATACCGTTGTACTCCAGCCATTGGCTGAGATGGAGTCTCATGAATTTCTGCCTACCCAGGCTGACCTCACACCATGATCCCTCAACCTCCATCTCTCTTGTAGTTAGGGTGATAGTCTTGAGTCCGTACAACTCATGCCAAAGGAGCAAAGGATCCCATTTGCTTTGAAAATGTAAGCTATTAGACAATTGAGGCTGGAGAAGTGGACTTGTGGTTGGCCTAGGACACAGGTGAAATGAACTTTGTGAACAGTGTTCGGAGGAAAGGAAGGCTTAGAGATAGTCAGACATTCCACAGTTGGGAAGGATTGAACTCCCCATTCTTTTGCTGCTTTCTGCTTACAGATTCACTCAGTGGTGTTTTAAAAATATAATTTTATTGTTATTATTAAGATATTGTATAGAGGGATTACCATTTCATAAGTAAGGTACATTTGTTTTTTGCGGGCAAAAATATTCCCCTTCCCATCCCTGTTCATAAGTTGCATATAGTTCATTTTCCACATAGTGGCTACTGAGTACCAGGATTGTGTTTGTTCCCTTCTTCCTCCCTTGCTGTACCCCCACTTTGCCCCCACTAAAAAGAAAAAAAATCCAAAAGCAAAAAAAACAAAAACAAAAACCCACCACCATCACTACCACCAACAACCAAAAATCCTCCATGTTTCCATTTTCTGGGATGCCTTTTGATTAATAGTATTTTAAATGTTCAAAGGAGTTATGTCTTTGGGTTCCTCTCCAGTGGTATCCTCCCTTTAGAATGACTGTATGAGTGCCTAGAGCCCTGTGTAGGTTATCATGTCCCATGGTATTTTATATCTAGCTTCCACATATGAAAGAAAACATGTGCTATTTACCTATCTGAGCTTAACTTGGTTTGTTCTAGGCCCAGCCATTTACCTGCAAATGTCTATAGTATTTTAAAAGGGTATTTTTCTCTAATAAATTACCTAGGATTTTTTTGAAAATTCAGTTTGATATTTCTTTTGATTATCTAAAGGAAACAGAAATGAAGTGTTTTGGATTAAAACTTTGGGGGTTTTGGTAACCAAGTTATTGCAATACCCTTGAAATAACCCATCTGTTTCCTGGTGATTATTTCTTGGGAAATAGCCATCGTTTTCTTCAGTATTTGTAATATGAGATGATATTTCCATTACAAATTATCTCTCATTATTATAGCTTTAATTCTTTCTTTGGGCCTTAAACTATTTCTCTGAATTGATTAAAATCATTGTGGAAGTCATTCAGAATGTTTTATTTCCACTTCTACAGAATGTCACCAGTGTATATATAAGGTGTTGGTGAGAATCTGGTTTCTGAAGCACAATCATAAGCGAATGCATATTTATGTCTTTATTTACTGGGCCGTCCCATTTGCTATGCACTCTAGAGGGGAAATTTCTCCCTTGCAATGAACAATCATGTCTTAAAATGTCAGCCTTCTACAGCTAGACAGAATGTAGTCTAGCCAAGCTGTTCACTTGACATTGATCCTGTCTGACACAGAAAGAAATGGGTCTCAGAAAATGCTTTTAAATACTTTCAATGAAGATAATTAGGTTGGGAGATTGTGTTATTGCATTTTGGGAAATCAGATTGAACTTGTGAAGTAATGTGGCTAATGAATGAAGCTCTGATTTAGGGAGAAAATTACTCTTGATTTGCTGTCAAGGTGGAGAAGCAAATCTATAGCCCATTTTGGACTCCATGTGTCCTTTTTTTTTTACAGCTGTTTGGCTATAGATGCTTCCTACCTGTAGAGTATACATTTGGGGGACAATGTATAGTTTTTTTCCACTGTTCAAGGAGTAAAGCAATACATTCTTGCAAGAGTTGATACCACAAGCATTGATCACAGAAGAGAAATTTAGAAAATTTAGAACTAACCCTCATCTCATCACCAAAGTCTTAGACCTTGTTACGAGAGATCCATTTAGATTAGAAATATAAACGTTTTATATGAAGGCTAATAGTTAACGCTGTTTTCCAAAGTTCCCTGTTTGGCACATGGCTACTTATTTTTGGTAAGGGGAGACATGTTTATTTTTTTCACTTTGGTACTAGATAATCAAGTAGCAATTTGATATGTATACATAGATGTATATATGTATGTATGTATTTATTTCATTTTATTTACCAGACAGAATAGGCAAATAATATTGATTAAATCATTTTCTGTCAGAAGTTTTTAAATAAGGAAACTCTTCCTGCCCCCATGACTCCCATTACAAATCACAGCAGCACAAAGCCTCTCTCTTGTTTGCTAACGCTCTTGGCTGCTGATTGGCATGTCACCTATTGGGAGCCTAATGACCCTGACACATTCTTGGAGAGGTAGAGTCATTATTTTGAGAAGTCAAAATAAAAAAAATTGTTTAATCTTTATTGCCAAAACACTACTTCTAATCAGCCACACACATTTCTCATCACCCTCTTGAAATCTACACAGTGTTTACCAAATTGTAGCCGTAGTTTACCCCAGGGTGACAATGTGAATTAGGAATATGGTGAATTCCATAGTATGGCTCAGCTCTCTTTTCAGTCTCTTTAAGATTGGGAAAAGGAGAGTGAAGAATCCATCTTGGTGGTTTTCGTGCTGAGAGAGAGAGACAGACAGAGACAGAAACAGAGACACAGAGAGAGACAGAGAGAGATAGAAACAGGGAGAGAGGGAGGGAGGGAGGGAACCCAGGAGGGGAGTGGAAGGGAGAGGGTATAAGAGAGGACATACAGAAATTGAGAGACAGAGACAAAGAGAAAGAGACTGTCAGTTTTCAAAGGGTCATAAGGGCCATAGGTCATCTGATCTGATCTTTTCTGTCCTCCTTATCCTTGGTCACTGTGAGTCACATGGCCCTCTTTACCTCCCAGTCCGTTCATTTCCCCGCAACTCCAAAGAATGTTCATTATCCCATGAGCCCAGCTTCTGCCTTCCCGAAATCTTCACTAACTAAACCCGACTTCATACCCTTAGAGCAGCTTAAAATTGCAAGCCAAATCTTCTTCAAGAACATAATCCTCCAGATATGAGAAAACTTCTTTCTCCAGGCCCTACCCTGTACATGAGCCTCCTTTTGTCCAGACACCCCAGCTTAGCAGCCTAATTTCATTGTTCCTCGGATATAAGTCCAAGACACTTCATTACTATCGCTTCTGTTCCAAAACTCAACAGAGTTACTACAAGTAGTTTGTACTTCCAGCTATTTATTTCACCAACTCTTGTTGTTTATATTATTTAATTTCCAATCATTTCATGAGACCCTGGTTCTTTATCTCAGACGATTGTAGTGCAGTTCTCCATGGGACTGATCATTGTTATCCCACACTTGTGGTCTCCCTGCCCCTCCCCCTTAGGCCTTGGCTTCCTCTTCAAGAAGGCCACATTTTATCCCTGAACCCATAGTAGCCAGCCACGGTCTTAACTGCTCTCTGCTGTGGACTTTACCACCCGGCCAACTTAAGGACCACTCTGGATCTTCTTACTTTTTTGTAAGCAATTGAAAAATAAGGTCATAGACTTTGTCTAGACCCTAACTATCCCTAATATGACACACAGAAGCTTGTTGACAGTTGTAGGGTCCTGAATCAGACTCAGTTTTCTTTGGCAATTCTTTTTTTAAAATACCTCTCCAGCACTATGAGAAGGGAAACTGACATTGAATTTTGAATTCTCTTAAGAGCTAAAGATTAATCCCTGCCCTTCCAATTGAATCTCAATATTGGAACACTACATTATTTGAGAGGAAATTATTGAAACTAGGCTACACCTAGAAGTACAGTTTTGGTACCTTGTTAGATAATTAATTTTATATATTGATCATTGATTATTACCTACTATGTAAAATGTAAAGGTAGGTAGTACTATACATTGAATAAATGATTGAGCAGCAAATGCATATCTATAATGTTGGCTTTTTCCTAAAACTTAATGCAGACATTGTGTCTTCATCATCTTTTAAAATTCCCAGGTGCTGAGTACTTAACACAGTAGACTTTTCTTCCTTCCTTCCTTCCTTCCTTCCTTCCTTCCTTCCTTCCTTCCTTCCTTCCTTCCTTCCTTCCTTCCTTCCTTCCTTCCTTCCTTCCTTCCTTCCTTCCTTTCTAATTGTTAAGCTGAAGGAGTAGCTCCAGTGGTAGAGCACCTTATTAGCAGGAGTAAGGTTCTGAGTTCAAACCTCAGTAATGCCAATAAGAAAAAGCAAATTCTCAGGATATATTTTTAATTCCTGCAATATGGAAACATATAATCCAAAAAAGTTGTCCACAATATCACAATACCTGAAATCCCAGCATTAGGCTGCTGAGGCAGGAAGCTCTTAAGTCTGAGACCTGATAGAGCTACTTTAGT